GGAAAATAGATATATATATATATATATATATATATATATATATATATATGTTTCCAACTTGGAAAATATGGATTATGAGACCCAAAGAGAATTTGCTAATGAATACACTGGTATCTCTAATGATTTGTTTTTAAAAGCCAAGAAAAAGTAAGAAGCCTATTAGAAACAGTATAAAACGGCACATGTTCTCTTTACAGGGAAAAGAAGCATCCATGATTAGGAACATTGTAAGACAATCATACCTGTTGCTATGTTACTTGGTCCCATTAGATAAGAATTATTGACTAGCTTAACTTTCATCAAATGACCTGATCATCACAGGCTAAAGCAATGCTCTAGCCACCTTAGGATTAGAATTAGGTTTTTTTTTTTTTCCTGAGAAGTTTTTGCTATAGGGAGGTTTTTGCTATAGGGCATGTATGCTTGCCAGAAAGACAGAGAGAGACAGAGAGACAGAAAGCAAGAAATCACCCCCGCCCCTCCCCCCCAGGGGAGATGGGTGCACCACAATCCCTTCTCCTCCATTCTCCTCTCAGGATATTGGGCGCGCATGTACACGCACCTGGTGTGAGTTTAAGCCACTGGGTTCGGGACTCAAATCGTGGTCGATTACATGAGAGTCCAGTGACATAGCTATTTTGCCATCTGCTGGTCCCAAAATTAGGTCTATCTTAACATCCCTGATAGTAATTTTGAAGGGACAGTTACATATTACTTGAGTAAAATTAGCAGGTAGTAAGGAACAGAATTTATTCCAGTATTAGTACATGAAAATGGCACTGAAGGTGAAATGGCCAACGTAATTCATCATCTTGAATAACAAACCTCTTGAGAGGCTGACTGGAGTTGCCATTAAATATTTTGTCTCATATTCATAGGAAGAAATAATTCATTTTGTTCTTTTTGGGGAGGGGTTCTCTCTCCCTACCTTCCTCTCTCCACTTCTCCTTCCCTTCCTTCCTCTCCAATTTGTAAAGGAGGAAATGGCCCTTTGTGCTTTATGTGGCATGTCAGGCTCTTGACCACCATTAAATAACTAGTAATCATGATTTCATCAAATCCTCATTATTTTAGGGGAAGTGTAAAAATGTTTACATATATAATGGTCATGCTTGGACACATATTTAATAGTAAAGCTGGTATTATATAGATTCTCACAATGGGTAGGTAGGTAGAAATGGTTGATATAAAACACCTCATTTTTGGGATCAGCAGATGACATAATGGTTATGTCCTTGGACTCCCATGTAGTCAACTGTGGTTCGAGTCCCAGACTTGGTGGCTTAAAACGCCTGGTGTGTGTGCATGTGTGTCCAAAATCCCAAGACGAGAAAAGAGGAGAAGGGATTCCAGCATGGTCATCCCCCCTACAGGGTGATTTCTTACTTTCTTTCTCTTTGTATCTCTCTGTCTCTCCAGTGAGCACACACACCCTATAGCAAAAATCTTTCTCTTAAAAAAAAATCTTATTTTTAAGATGGAAAATAAACTTAATTTGAGCTCATTTATGTACATCAAAGATAAATTCTAAATCCTTTCACCAGTATGGCTTAGTGTTTACTGTAGCAGAATCACTGGGTGACCATGGCCAAGTACTATGAATATTTGGAAGCCTCAGTTTTTACTTATAAACAATCTTTATATTATTATTGTTATCTTAGACCTGTTCAACTTACAAGGCTATTAATGGGGATCAGTTGCAATAATCAATGTGAGATAACTGGAAAAACATAATTCCTTCAGAAAGTGTTTGATAATATTACTTCAAGTTTTAGATGTAGTCACACTTCATGATTTTCAGTTTACAAGATTGATATCATTCTTATTTTGATATTTATTCTGTTCACCAGACCTTTAGATATTTATGATTTAGTCATTTCTTCATGTTTTTAAACCAGAATAAATTATCATAGAGCATTCAATATAATTATTTAAGCAATTAAAACTATTATATATGTTTAGAATAATATTCATAATCATAAATAACATAATTATTATTATTACCAACTCATTTCTACATTGGTGATAGCACAGAACACAGCATAAACTTTCACTACTAATAAATACATTGAATTAAGTTATTTTAATTGTGTTACCACCTATAACTCTCTTAAATTTCTATTCTAATATTTAACTTTAAAAAATACTCCCATATCATTGTGGTTTCTCCTACTGCATGTTGTTTGGCAGCAAAGCTACAAAAATGAATGAGTGCATAATTAAATTGAAGTAGTAGGTATGTTAGAAAGTATCAGGAGGCCAGTCGGTGGCATAGTGGTTAAGGGGCTAGACTCCCATATGACCGACCATGGTTGGAGTCCCAGACTTGGCAGCCTGAAATTTATGCCAGGCAGTTGTGCATATGTGCCCCAAATCTTGAGAGTAGAATAGAAGAGAAGGGACTGTGGCATGGCCAATCCCCGAGGAGGTATTTTATCAATATGTCTTTCTGTCTCTCTATGGCAAACACATTCCCTATAGCAAAAATCTCTCTAAATAAAAAAGAAAGAAGATAGCTGCCAGGCAATACAGTAAATACTGTAAGGGGCTATGACTTTATTGGTCCTGATCAGCTAGGCTATACTGCAGCTAAAACTAATCTCAAAATGTCAGTGGCCTGCATTCAGACACACTGCCTTGTGAATAGCTCAACCTCTTGTCTGCACTATCTGGAATTCAACCTCCTCAGTCAGAGAATAGATAATTTGCAAAATCCTGCATGAATTTTTTAATATCTCAGCCTAGAGGTGACACACACCATTTCTGATCCCATTGCATTGCCTAGAATGATTCAGATAGCCCTGCCTACTTGCCAGGGAAGTATCTGGAAATAAATTTATAATAATATTTGATTGGTACCACTTTTCTGTCAAAGACTTTTTTTGCTGGTGATAGATAGCATAATGATTGATTTACTTAAT